CTAAATTTTTTTTTTTGAGTTGGAGTTTCACTCTGTCACCCAGACTGGAGTGCAGTGGCTGCTCCCGGTCACTACAGCCTCGACCTGCTGGGCTCCGGCGATCCTTCCGCCTCAGCCTTCCCAGTAGCCGGATCTACAGTTGCGCCCTACCACGACCGGCTAATTTTATTTGTTGTAGGGACAAGGTCTCGCCAAGTTGCCCAGACTGGTCTCGAACCCATGGGTTCAGGCAATCCACTCATCTAGACCTCCCAAAGTGCTAGGATTACAGGCTGCACCACCAAGCCCAGCCACGTCCCCTAATTTTTTTAGTAGAGATGGGGATCTCACTATGTTGTCCAGAGCAGTCTTGAACTCCTGGCCTTAAGCGATCCTCCCATCTAGGCCTCCCTTTTGTTTGTTTTGGGGACACTGTGGTGACTTTTTCCAGCCCCATGTGGCTATTCTGTGGCAGCCCAATCAGGCATGGGTAAGTATGCCCACCGCCCCCATCCCCACCCCAGGGTCAAGCTGGCCTTTGGGCCCTGGCCTCATAGCCAGGGGGGCATAGCTGCCCCAGGCACGCAAGACTCCAGAGAAAGCATCTGAACAGGACTGGAATGGAGGGAACAGAAAGAAGTACTAGCTAATTCATTGCCAGTGGGAGAGAACCCGTCACTACTGGTCCTCAGAGTGACTGCAGCTCTGGCTACAATTCAGAGGAGGCCCAGGGTCAGAGGAGGCTTAAGGTAACTGCCACAGGGTTGTTCCCCAAGATGGCACACACACACAGGAGACCTCATCACTTCCCAATGGCTGGCCTTAGCCTGGCAGACTTCAAATGCAGCCTGATGGGTGTTAGGGGACCTCCAAGGGCCCATATCTGCTAACAAAGTTCCTGGAGCCCCTCCGGCGTGCAGCCAGACCTCCCAACACAAATTTACCAGGAGCATTTTAGTGGGTGGGTGATGCAGACAGTCAGACAAGAACCGCGAAGTCAGGGAACAGCACATGCAACTGCCCTGAGGCTGGGTGCACTTACGTCAAAGCCCACAGGGAACGAGAACAGTATGTATAATGGGAAGAAATAACGGTCTGTGCATGGATATACTTGCAAAGACACACGACCCAGCATTAGCGGTGGTCGCCTCTAGACAAAAGGCAAGCAGAGTGTGGGATAAACGAGGCTTTCACATTTGTACCCAAGTGTACATGTAGTTAGTACGCATGTAACACTGTTTTAAAACAATGGTAAGTACGAAGAGCCAAAGGGTAGAGCTGCGGGCGGGAGCCCCCCGGGCCCT